AGCAGCGTCGCTGGTCGCTGGTCCGGGGGGCTCGCCTGCGGCCGTCGCCCTGGGAGTGTCGACCGCTTCCCTGACCGGGGCCGGGCGGCGGTAGTATCGATTGGCCGTAAGAGTGCCCCTGCGTATCGTGTAGCCGATAGTAGGCCCAGACGTGCTCGCGTCGTAAAACAAATCAGGACGGGATGCTTTTGGCTGTTCTCGGCCTCCGGGGGCCCTCGCCGGGCCTCGGGACCGTCAACGAAAGACCGGTCCCGGGGAAAGGGTCGGGACCTGCAGGGGGGCCGCGCCGAAGAAGGCAGGGCGTCGCACGTTTGGGGGCGGACAGAGGGGAGCTCAGGCTTCTGATGCCCTGGCTGGCCAGGAAGGCTGGCAGGTCGTACACGTCGTACCTGGACGGGTCGGTCCCGCGTAGGGTTGTGGAAGTCGATTGATGGAGAGGAAGCGTGCTGCTAAGTCATTTCCAGATGTCTAGAACATGCTTCAAACATTTTTTGTAATATGTAAAAACACGTCTAAGACACGTTTAGAACACTTTTCCGACATTTTCAACACATTGTAAGTTCAACGATAGGATTGCTAGAGTGGCCATTGTCGTGGCATCCACAAGTCTACGTCGTACCTGGACGGGTTGGTCCCGCGTGGGGCTGCACGGGGCCCCGGGAGAATCTCCCACGCAGCCCCTCGGGCTGTCGGCTCTGCCGCCCTCGCTCTTCTTCCTGCCCCTGGCGTGCGTGAGCCAGGCAACCACGCGGGCCAGTGCGGCCCGCCTGCCGTCCCAGGGGTCGGAGGGAGGAGAAGCGACACCAACACCACCAGGGGGCCCACCTCCGGCGAGGAGGTCCACGATGCCTCCCCGAGCTGGAGGCTGGGGATGTCTCGAGCGAGAGGGGGGGACCACACCGTCCGGGAGGCCCTCCTTGCCTCCTCGCATCTCCTCGCCCTGGTGGTGTTGGTGTCGTCTCTCCTTGTCCCTAAGGGGAAGGTGTCGGGAACTCTGGCGTCCAGGATGGCTTTACCATGTATCTTGGAAGTGATGCGCGTGCTGCGGTACCAATACGGGGTGTCGGTGTTCTCTTCTTCCATCCCTGGTGCGACCGCATCGCTCCGCTCCTGGACGAACCCGTGCCGCGCCTCCTCGATGCCTGGATGCAACCTTCTGGCGTGGTCCACCATTGCGTGCGCGATTTTCTTGTCATGGCGGCCAGGTTTGCTGGCCAGGTCAATCTGGCTAGCCAGGGCCAGGGAGTCCAAGGAGCGGCTTGCCAGCGGTGGGCATCCGGGCGGCGGGAGGGGATCCATGTCTGGGGCACTGCAGCTGAGTCTGGTGGCGCTGGGGTCAGGTCAACGCGCTGCTCCCCGAGTCTCAGAACAAATTCCCTCAGGAGCTCCTCGCTCATCCACATGGGGATCTTTGCGACTCCAGCAAGTAGGGCAGGCTGGTTCTGAGGCGGCGGGCTATCCTTCTGGCCCTATAGCCCAGGACACTAGGTGAGCCAGCATGAATTGCTGGCAGGTCTCTTGCCAGCTCCACGCGCCCCGATCCAGGCGGCCGGCGTCCAGCATCACCCCGTCTTCCCAGAACGACAGGAGGAGTTGCCGCAGGAATGGCTCGGAAAGGGACGCAGGAGCCGTGTGGCGGCCTTCCAGGTGCCTATTGCAGAAGCTGACCCAGTGCAGGTTGATGGCTGGGCCGTAGTTGCACCTCACGTAGCCAACCAGGTCCACCAGCGGCCCCATCTCAAGTTTTTGTATGACACGTGAGGGCCTCTCCGACGTCGTTATCGTCGTCGTCGTCGCCGTCGCCGTCGCCGTCGCCGCCGCCGCCGCCGTCGCCGTCGCCGCCGCCGCCGCCGTCGTCGTCATCGTCGTCGTCGTCGTCGTCGTCGTTGCCAGAGGGGGAGTGGACCCCCACAATGATTTTCCGGGGGGTCTGGACCCCCCCCTGTCTTTTTTTTGGGGGGGGGTGATCACCACCTTCTTCCTGCCAGCAGCGGCAGAAAGCGTTCTTTACGCCGAGATCCGAGGGTCAACAGAACGGCTTGGAGCCGTCTTAGGGCCACCGTGGAGGCGTTTTGGGCCGCTTTGAGCTGACGAAAGCCCGAACCCGCGAGAATGCGAAGATCATGCACAACCAATGTGAAACTATGATCTTGGCTGCTTCTGGTCCGGTGGGGTCCTCTGGGGATGAGAAGCCGGCCCCAGGGAGCGGGCTGGGCGCCACGAGGGCCACGAGGGCAATCGCCGGGAGGGGAAAGGAGTGTCACTGACATGCTTCTGTTGGTGAGGCCGCCAGTGTGCCACTCTTTCGTCTTTGCCCGAAGGACGGATGGTTCTTCAACACCAGCGCGCTGGTGGGTTCCCCACAGTGGCGTGTCATTGATACTGTGCATGCTCTCCGGCACTCGCGCACACAGACTGCATGTTCTGGTCGTGCTCTTCGGTCCCCCCGCGCGCTCCTCCCCCTCCCGCCGCCCGCCGTGCCCTAGTCGACCGCGTGCATTCCGCGTCTGCCTTGCAATTGTAGAAACCGGCCCGGATTCTCGCCGCTCCGGCAAAATTCGTTGATATTGTCTGTGCTCCCGGAGGCCACGCCAGAGGCGCAGGGAGCCCCTCGTGCCGATGCGCCGGCGGGAGCGGCCCCGCAGGGCGTGACTGGCCGGGAGCTTTGGCCTGGCGTGTCGCGCTGCCGGGTTCTGGCCCACCACGCTGCGGTGCGACACGCTTCGGTCGCAAATCACGGGAGCATGGCGTACCTCCGCAAGTCCGTCTTTGAAGCGCACTCGCGTCGATTAGCGTTTGGTAGTCGACGATGCAGGGTCGACTGAACATCGACTCGCGTCGCTTAGCGTCGATTCGTGTCGATTCAGCGTCGATTCGCGTCGACTAGCGTTGTGTCGGTTCGCAAGGGCCAAGAAGATGGACTGGGAGGCTCCCATGGGTTGCCGCCGGTTCTGGCCCACAACGCTTCGGTGCGACACGTTCCGAGGGAAGACACGCGGTGACCATGACCAATATGTCGTGGGATCTTGCCGATGCCGATCTTGGTCGTTGTCCATGTCGGCCGTCGCGGATTCGCGAGGACGACCCACGACTTGGCGCTGACCAGGATCGATGGGGACCAAGATCGGCACACCGTTTCCGTGTTTTGTCTTGGTCAGGATCCCCGCTTCTTCCCCTCCAGCGCTCCCCGAGGCGTCAGCATCCCGAGCTTCTCCCGAGCCTCCCGTTCCTGCGGAGCAGAGCCGAACGCCATCCGCTCGCTAGGCGTAGCGTGTCGTCGGGGCCGCCGCCTCGACGGGCCGAGCAACAGTTCCCGACCGCAGCCTGGCCCAGCTCTGACGTTGTCCAGGCGAGGGCCGAGAAACGTTCTCACGTATATCAGAGGATTTCAGTGAGGGGAGATGATCATTCTCTTCCGAACGCTATTCTTTGGGGCTGTGTACTTCGCGGTCGAAGACGTGGGTTGCCTGTCTTTTGGAGGCTGTCCGTGCTGTCCTGGACCTTGCTCTTTTCCGGCATCCGAGGCTACTGAAGAAAATATTGAGAAAAACGGCAATGCGCGGTCCGTCTTTCGGAGGGAACTGCTGCGGGTGGCTTGGAGGGCCCCAGCGACGGTTGGTTTACGGTTGTCGGTCCCCGCGCGGCTCTGGAACTTCTGTATGATTATTCCTAGTCCAGGACCCCCCTCCCTCCAGTCTCCTTTTTCCTTCCCCTCCCTCCCTTTTCCTTCCTTCTTTGCAATGGTGGGATGCACTTCCACGTGGATTGATCATGAGTGGTTTTGCCGTCTTGTTCAACCACCTGAGGTTGCCACTCTTGGCTTGCGACACAGGTACGCTCGGCTGCTTGCTCAGCCCCACGCTATGCCGCGCTTTGCTTGGGTGGCTCGTCTACCTCTGGCGCCTGGCGCGACAAGGTACAATTCGTTTGCCTTCCGGTGGTCTCGCCCCTGGAATGGTTGCACTTCGGCCGCCTGGCACACCTGGCACCTCTTGCAGCTCTGCCTTCGGTCCCCGGCGTCGTTCCTCGGCGGCGGTTTCGGCGGCCGTTAGTTCGCGCGCTTAGGTAATTAGGTTTGGCTCGTCCAGAAGGCGCGCCAGGAGAAGGATAATACCAAACCGCGCAGCTTGCAGTTGTCCCAGGCGCGCATCGCGAAGGAAAAGGCAGAGAAGGAGGTCAGCAGCATCCAGGGCGAGCGGCTGGTCAAGAAACAGGAGCAGCTCAGCGTTGCCAGGTCTCGGGAGCAGGAACTCAAGGTGCAGGGCGTCGGAGACCCCTCCCAGGGCTGTATGGAGGCACCGCAGAAGCGGTACGAGAAGACAGTCGACGGCAGCGGCGTCACCCCTGTCGAGTACCAGCAGCTGTTCGCCCAGCTCGGCAAGGTCATGGCCAACGCGAAGGAGGATGCTCCCATGGATCCTCGGCCTGGTGGTCCTTGCGGCGCACCTGGGGGGGGGGGGGGGTAGCGGTGGCGGAGTCACACCCGAGCCAGAATGCGACGGACCCAAGCTTACTCGAGATGAACAAGATTGGCTCAATCAAGGTGGAGTGCCTGACGGGGCCAGCGATGAGCAAAAGAAACGGTGGATCGAATTTACACCAGCCTGGCCGAGCACTCAGTCAAGCGGCAGAGGCGTTCCTAACGCTGCTCGCAGCCAGAAGAAGTACGACAAGCTCACGGTCTGGACGTTCAACGGTTCGGGCTGGGGCACGATAGAGGAGAATGCGTGGGGCCTTGCAGTGCTACGCAGTGCAGGAGCATCACCTCGCGGAAGACAAGCGGCCTGTGGTGACGCAGGCGGTAAAGGCGCAGGGTTGCCAACTGGGTGGCGCCGCAGCTGTGTCGACAACGGGGGCAGCAGGCGAGGCGGGCTCGTCAGCTGGAGTAGCAGTGGCAGTACCAAGGTGCGTTGGGATGACCTATTTGTACGGTCAAGACACGTGGGACATATCGCCGAAGGGAAGTCCAGGCCGAGCAGCAGCGGCGTGGGCGTCGGCAGGCAAAGGCGTGGTCATAGCACCGATGTACCTGTGGACGGCAGGGGGCATGTCGTATCGGAGCAGGGAGTTGGTGTCGCACGTAGTGGGGCAGCTGGAGACCTTGGGAACGCCGTGGATCATAGGGGGCGACTTCCAGGTTAAGCCAGAGATTCTCGCTGAGGTGGAGTCGCTGAAGATTGCCGAGGCGTGCGTCACAGCGCCGAATGCGGCGTGTGGGGCGTGCAGACATGCTCGCGGCAACAGCGAGATCTATTACTTCATCGTGTCCGACTCGGTGAAGGCGCAGGTCGAGGGTGTGCAAGTGCAGGAGGAGTGGCCATCTGCACCACGCAAGCCCGTAGGCATCACTATTGAGCTGAAGGTGGTGGAGCGAAGAGTGCGGGTCTTGGGGAAGCCGAAGCCCATGCCAGAGTTGCAGATCGGATGTGCGCCAGCGCCGCCGAGCTACCAGCAGATTGGGCCGTTCGACGCGCAAGTGGACGCGGGCCAGGAGTGGGCCAGGTGCATGCGCAAGCTCGAGCAGGAGGCTTTCGCAATCAGGGGCATGGTGTGGGGCGAGAAGGACCCGCGCGCTGGGCGATCAGAGATCCCGACGTGGAGGATCAAGCCCCCCACATTTGGTGGAAACAACCTGCCAAAGACAGCGGGGCAAGCGATATGGTGGAGGTGGCTGTCTAGGTCCTTGCGCAACTTGCAGGGCGCTGACGCGAGGTTGCGCGCGACGGCGGAGCACTGGGACAAGCGCGTGCGTGAGGTCAAGGAGCGGGAGAGGTTGTTCAAGATAAAGGGCAACCGCATGAGGCACCTCTCCGCGGAGGAGCAGGGCGTTTGGCAGGCGCGGTGCGAGTTGCTGGCGAGCGGTCGTTGGCGAGGTTGTGCGCAGAGAGACGAGTTGCAGGAGCTATGCCAGGAGGCAGCCACCGCGTCAAAGAAAACGGACCAGCAGCTCACCAAGGAAAGGCGAGCGAAGTGGGCAGAAAAGCTCGAGGCGGCGGCGGCGGGCTCGGCGGGGGGCCTGCGCAAGCTGAGCAAACCAGTGGCGGTTTGGCGGCCGAGGCGTGCAGACTCAATGGCGGAGTCAGCGGACCCTTTGGAAGCGGCGGAGTTTGCTTTGAAAGAGTGGAAGGCAGTGTGGCGCACGGACCGGCCGCGCGGACGATCCGATGCAGCGGCAGGAGAGGCCGTGGGAGATCGAGGCTAGGGAGCAGCTGGGCGAGTTCACGGACGAGGATGTGGTTAAGCTGAAAGGCTTAGCGCGGACATTTAGAAAGAAGACGGGAGTGTGTGTTGACAGGTGGCGCCCATCGCTGCTGCAGGGGGCGTCGGGCGGGGCGTGCGAGACGCAGCTGGCCATCTTGCAAGAGGTGGAGAGGGCGCTGGTGTGGCCAGTACACGTGGGAACAGTGTTGTTTTTCATGATCCCCAAGACTTTCGCCGCGGACAGGGTGATAGGGCTGCTGCCAACCACCATCGGGAGATGGGGGATCATGGGGGGCCGTGCATGCAGCGATGGGCGAAGGAGAACCAGAGATCCTGGGGCTGCGCGAGTTTCGGCAAGGCAGCGGAGGACGCTGCCTGGGACGTCTTTCTCAGCCATGAGATGGGCGACCCAGACTTTCAGGACGAGCGCGCGGAGGCGACGATCGCGGCCATCCTCGACTTCGTTAAGGCGTTCGAGCGGGTAAGCCTCTTCGTGCTCTGGGAGGCAGGCAAGCAGCTCAAATTCCACACAGGAGTCCTGGCGGTGGTGTGCTCATACTTTGCCATGGCGAGAAGGCTCATAGTGGCAGAGTCGGTGTCGAGCGAGACGAGCACGGTGGCGACCACCATAGCAGGCAGCAAGTTCTCGGTCAGCTTCCTCAAGATGGTCATCCAGACGACGGTTGACGGTCTGGCGGTCGAGAGGCCGATCGCCACATGGAGGATGTACGTGGGCGACTTGTGCGTCAGGCTCAGGAGGCAGCATCAGCGCGTGGTGGAATAGTTCACGGAGACCTCGGATGCGTTCTTCGAGGGCTTGGGCAAGTTGGGTCTCAAGTTCTCGGTGGGAACTGCTGGGGAGGGGGCAGTGATGGCGAGTACTAAATGGGTACGGAAGACAGCGGCCAAGGATATGGAGAAACGTGGTCTGCCAGTGGTGCGAGCGTGTCCATACCTAGGGGTGGATCTGATCGCAAACGGGTCGGCGGCCAAGTCGAAAAGCAGGAAGCGTTTCAGCGGCATGTTTTCGCGGACAAGAAGACTGGTCAACCTGAAAGGTGGAGGGCGCAAGATGCAGAGAGGAATCACGTTGGTCTAGAAATGCGGGCTAAAGAGATCGGTGCTGTACGGGTGCAAGTGCTTGGGCATGCCAGACCAGCAGTTGCGGCTACTACGACGTGAAGCTGGACGAGCGCTGCCTGGGGGACGTGGAGCTAAGAGCCTCACGCTGCAGCTGGCGGTCCCGCAGGAGGAGCCCACCTTCGAGGTCGCGGAGGCGCCCATCGTGCAGTGGGCACGTGCAGTCTGGCATGCGGAGCAGAGGCTGGGCATCTACACGGACGGCGAGGTGCAAAATCTGGGGCTAAGCTCAGGTTCGGAGCCGCCACCTGCTGGACGGTCAGAACAAAATCCTGAGCCTTGCTCAGGTTCGACGTCGCCACTTGCTGGATGGCCAGGGCGAAATCCTGAGCTCAACTCAACGCAGGTACAACGTCGCCACATGCTGGACGGTCAGACACAGCAGCACACTGGGACGGCACGGCGGACATGCTGAAGAAGGCCTGGAGGCGGCAGCAGCAAGAGGTGGGCATGAGGCCTCCTGGGTAAGAGTTCGAGGGCCAGCAGGAGCGGTCATCATGCCATTGCAGAGGGCGGATTGGACGTGGCCAGCCTGGCACACCATGCGCGCGAAGGAGGGGCATGTCTTGAACCCGAAGGAGGTGTGCCCCATGGACGTGGCGGCGATGATGCGAAGGGATATCCAGACCAAGCTACGGGAATAATGGGCAAAGGCGCCCGAGTGCAGCAGCCTCAAGCCAGCGCCGTACATCGCGCCCGCGGTGTCGCAGTTCAATGCGAAGGGCTTCCCCGAACACGCGAAGAGCGCTGCAAAGAAGGTGTTCATCGGGGGCAGCTGGACGATGAGCAAGCTCTGCGAGAGCAACATCGTGCCGACTGACACCTGCCTAGGCTGCGGGAACGCGGTGGTAACACCGCACCGCAGGCTGTGCAAGTGCGAGGCGTTGAGGCAGCAGAGGCTCGAGGCGCGGGCGGACTGGCAGCGCGTGGCAGAGCAGCAGGAGGGCAGTCTATTATGGACGCGTGGCTTGGCAAGGAGCCCTGAGGCGGACTGGCGCTTCGTCGGAGTGAGCGAGGATCAGTGCTAAGGGGCAGTGCTGGAAGGGGGCGATGGTGTACTCGCGGGCGACATCGTGCGTGACGGGTCAAAGCTGGGCTACGCGGAGTGGGCGCAGACAGGCTGGGCGGCAATGTCGATCAACGAAGACGGGGGGCCGACGGTGCAGGTGTGGGGGCCGCAGCCGTGCACCCTACCTGTCCAGCGGAAGGTGAAGCGCGCGGAGACGCGGGCCTTCCTGAAGGTGCTGGAGAACGCGCTGCCGCCCTTCAGGATTTACACGGGCCATAAGGGCATCATCGGCGGCCTGAAGAAAGGCGAGAGGTGGTGTGCTAGCTGGAAGAGGCCGCATGCAGACCTGCGGCGCAGAATTTGGCACAAGGTGAAGGACGCGGACTTAGGCGTGAGCTCGGTGTGCCGCGTCAAGGCGCACAGGGCCAAGGCCAAGATAGCGCAGCTGCAGGGAGACGAGCTCAAGATCGCGAAGGGCAATGGCGAGGTATACCTGCTGGCGAAAGCAGGGGCTGAGCTAGACGCGAACTTCGGCAAGCAGCAGGCGCTGGAGGAGCAGGGCACGAAGGTGCGCTGGGCGGTGCAAAACATCGGGTGGTGGTACCAGAAGATGAATGGCGAATGGTCCGACGTCCCCAAGCGTGAACCAGGTGAGCCGAAGAGGAGGGTAGTCAAGCAGAAGCTAGCGTTGACAAACCACGATGTCATCAACAAAGGCAAGTGGCTCGTGTGTGTCAAGTGCGGGAAAATGGCGGCCTCGAAGCGCATGGGGAAAAGCTGTGGGAGGCGGAGTGCGTGCCGCCCCTGTGGAGATCCTCAGGCAAGAGAAAGACGGGGGCTTCGGGGTCGGTCGAGGCATGCGTAGCTCTCGCGGCTGCGGGGGCCGTGGCAGCAGGGCGTGGGGGTCGCGGGGGCGAAGATCGACCCGCTGGGCGCGAACGCCGAGTGGAAGTCCACGGGCCGTGCGTGGTGTGCGTGGTGCGCGGGGCTCACTCGACGACAAGGGGAGCGGGGCTGTGGGCAGCGTGCCCAGGGCCCCTGGAGCAGAAGGGCAAGTCTTCAAACGACGACGCCAAAAAGAAGAAGCGAGACCGCATCCTTGCGGGGAAGCGCCCACAGACGGGGAAGCAGCTGCCGAGCGAGCCAGTCCTGCCAGTGCTACGTGGACGTTGAGCACTACGGGGGCACGCTCGAGGGCACGCTGATGCAGGCCGTGCAGGCCTGAGTTCCGGCCGCTGGGGAGCGGCACGGGCCCTGCGGCGGACTCCGCTGGGGGCTCTGGGGAGCAAAAAAAAAGCTTATTGGGGGCATCCTGGGGGCCACTTGGGGGCCTCTTGGGGCCTCCAGGCTACCTCTTGGTGCCCTCTTGGGGCGCCCTTGGGAGCCTTGGGAGCGCTCTTGAACCATTTCGGAGGAGATCGATCGAAAAAGGGGCTTTCCCTGATTAGCCTTCCCCCCCTGAGGCCAACATGTGGCCAAAACCTGAGTAAAACCAATGATTTTGGCTTCCTCGCCGAGGCCGTTTTAGACGTTCCGATTGCTCGCAGAACGTCCGTCCAGGTCCAGGGGAGGGGGTGGGGGGAGGGGTCAAGTTAGCCAGCTCGATCGAGCGAGAGGGCTCTGTCCACTCCCACCCGCCCTCCCACAACATAAGAAGCAAGTGCGTCGCGTCCGACGCCTGTCGTTCATCTTATATCGTGGGCGGCTAGACGTTCAGCGCGCGACATCAGCTGCGTCCTATTCCTGCCGCGTGTTGAACAGCGTCGACGAGAAACAAATCCGCGCGCGATGTGCGCCGCGCCCTGCTCCAGCTTCTCATGTTGCGTCGTCGGCGAGAACATTTCCAGCGCGCGAAGTGCGCCGCGTCTCATTCCAGGCACGCGTGACGTACCGCCAATCGTTTGCTCCTGCCGCGCATGGAGGGGGGGGAGGAGGAGGAGGAGGAGGAGGGGAGGGAGAGAGGGAGGGAGGGAGAAACTTATGAGGAAAAGGAGAATGCCACTTGGGAATTCGCGGGGCGTCCCACTCCCGCTACGCGATTCGCAGCGCCGACGAGGAAAACTACATGTTGGCAAGAAAAACATCGACATTGCTGTGTTTTTTGACAGGTAGGACGGGGGTCCCGCGTAGGGTTGGCCACGCGTCCGTGCGCGATGTGCGCCGCGTCCCACTCGTGCTACACTTTTCGCAGCGTCGACGACAAAAAAGTCCATGTTGACGAGAAAAACGTTGACTTTGTATTGTTTTTGACGGGTAGGACGCGACCACCCGCTTCCGGTTACCCGAGCGATGTTCATTGCGTCCGATTCTTGCTACACGTTTCGCAACTCGACGACATGTTGGCGAGACAAAAACTAAGTTTGTGTTGTTTTTGGACAGTTCGGACGGCGGAGCTGCTATCGGCCGGCTAGGTGGGGATGTGGGGGTGTTTAATCATAGGAGGTAAGGTAAACCCCTCCCCGAAAGGGAAGAGGGAGGGGTGGAAGAGGAAACGCCCTAACTACACCTACGCCCAGAGGGCTGGTGGGATTTTCAGTGCGCCGGCTTTTTGGCGTAGATGTCCACGCGCGAGAGAGAGGGAGAAAAAGAGAGAGAGAGAGAGAGAAACAGACAAGAGAGAGAAAGAGAAAGGGACAAAGAGAGAGAAGGAGATGGAGAAACAGACGGATACCGTTGTAGTGTGGCAGGAGAGATGTTTAAATGCGGACTCTGGAGCATGGAGCGACCTTTGGGGGGCACGTGGGGGGGGCCCTCGTCCGCTTGCGTGCCTCGGGCCATGATGCGGTAACCCTCCTTTTCCGGGTCTCCCTCGTTGGCGCACCCGAACACCGTGGCAGGGGAGGTTCAACCAGTTGTTCTCGGTCACCGGCAATCCTGGCAAGGACCAGGGATGGGGGAGGGGGAGAGGGGGGATGAGGAGGAGGGGAATATGGAGGAGGAGAAGTAGGGGGAGGAGGAAGATGAGGAAAGGGAAGAGGATGAGGAGGATGGGGAGGAGGAGAAGGAGGAGGAGGAGGAGGAGGAGTGCTAAGGAGGAGCGATGAAGTGGAGTTGCGAGGAGGAAGAGCGGCGACGACGATGACGATGATGATGCTGCTGCTGCTGCTGATGATTATGACGATTATGATGATGATGATGATGATGATGATGATGATGATGACGACGATGATGATGATGATGATGATGATGATGATGATGATGATGATGATGATGATGATGATGACGGAGCTCTTCCGAAGGTCGCCAGTGGCAGGGCCCGCATGCGTCGCCAGATAGAAATTCATCACACCCCTCACGAGGATCGTGGCCCTGGCCTCATAGTGAGCTCCACCGAGGGCCCATCGAAGCTTCCTTTCGCCACATCCCTCACGAGGATCGTGGCCCTTGCCAATACGGAGCTCTTCCGACGGTCCCAGTGGCAAGGCCCGCATGCGTCCTCGGGCATGCTTTCGGCACACCCCTCACGAGGATCGTGGCCCTGGCCCCATGCGGAGCTCTTCCGAAGGTCACAGCGGCATGGCCAGCATGCGTCCCCAGGTTCACGGAAGGCAAATTTCAGCACACCCTTCAGGAGGTTCGTTGCCCTGACCCAACACGGAGCTCTTCCGAAGGTCCCAGTGGCAGGGCCAGCATGCGTCTTCAGGGCAAATTTAGGCACACCCCTCACGAGGATCGTGGCCCCGGCCCCACAGGGAGCTCCACCGAGGGCCCACCGACGCCCAATTTCGGCACATCCCTCACAAGGATCGTGGCCCTGGCCCCATGCGGAGCTCGTTCGCAGGTCCCAGTGGCAGGGCGCGCATGCGTCCTCGGGCCAGATTTTTGCACACCCCTCACGCGGATCGTGGCCCTAGCCCCACATGGAGCTCCACCGAGGGCGCACCGAAGCCTTATTTCGGCACACTCTTCACGATGATCGTGGCCCTGGCCCCATGCGGAGCTCTTCCGAAGGTCACAGTAGCACGGACCGCATCCGTCCCCAGAGTACGGTGTTCCTACTATGGCTCATCGTAGGGAGCCCCTGCTATGACTCATATTAGAGATTCCCTAGTACCAGTCGTAGTAGGGAGCACTTACTATGACTCATCGTAGGGGTCTTTACTATGACTCATCGTTGGGATATCAGGAACCGTAGTAGGGGTCGCTATTATGACTCATAGTGGAGACTTTTTATCTTGACTCATCGTAGGGAGCTCGTTTTTTATTATGGCTCGTAGCAGGGAGCTCCTATTATAAGTCGCAGTAGGGACTCCGTACTATGAGTCATAGTAGGGACCCCGTGCTATGACTCATGATAGAGACCGCCTACTATGAGTCACACTGCGGAGTCCCTACTACGACTCAAAGCACGGAGTCCTTCTCATGAGTCATAGTACGAAGTCCTTCATGTGAGTCCTTGTACGTAGTCCCTGCAGAGATTCGCCACTATGACTCATAGTAGGGAGTCCCTACAAGGAGTCGTGGCACGGAGTCCTTAGTAGGAGTCATCGTACGGAGCCCCTAGTTCGAGTCGTAGCACGGAGTCCCTACCATGGGTCATAGTACGGAGTCCCTTGCATGAGTCCCAGTAGGGGGTCTCTACTACGAGTGATAGTACGGAGTCCCTAGTATGAGTCATAGTACGGAGTCCTTTGTATGAGCCCCAGCAGGGAGTCTCTAGTATGGGTCACAATACGGAGTCCCTAGTTTGAGTAATAGTACGGAGTCCCTTGTATGCGTCCCAGTAGGGGGTCTCTACCATGAGTCCCAGTAGACAGTCTCTATTAGGAGTCATAGTACGGAGTCCCGAGGATGAGTCGTAGTATGGGGGCCCGTACTATGAGTCGTAGCAAGGAGCTCTTACTATTAAGAGTCGTAGTACGGAGCTCTTACTGTGAGTCGTAGTATGGGGTCCGTATTATAAGTCGTAGTGAGGGGTCCCCACCTTGAGTCGTAGTAGGCAGCCCCCACCATGAGTCGCAGCAGGGAGCTCCTATCATGAGTCGCAGTAGGGAGCTCCCACTGTGAGTCGTAGTAGGGAGCTCGTACTACGGGTCGTAGTAGGGAGCTCGTGCTAGGAGTCGTAGTAGCGAGCTCCTACTATGAGTCGTAGTAGGGAGCTCCCAGTATGAGTCGTAGTAGGGAGCTCCTAGTATGTGTCGTAGTAGGGAGCTCGTACTATGAATCGTAGTAGGGAGCCGGCTATTATGAGTCGTAGTAGGGAGCTTCCACTATGAGTCGTAGTAGGGAGCTCGTACTATGGGTCGTAGCAGGGAGCTCCCACTATGAGTCGTAATGGAGAGCTCCTGCTATGATCTCTCAACCATCCCTGTCAAGCTCGCTTCGCTTGAAAACACATTTTTGTGGTGTCCAGGGATCTGTAGCGTCCCTTAGTGTAGAATTCCAATTGCTCCAGTGGCATCGTGTGTGTGTGTGTGTGTGTCTGTGTGTGTGTGTGTGTGGGTGGTGGTGGTGGTGGTGGTGGTGGTGGTGGTGCACGGGTACCCAGTGTACGCCTCCCCTCCTGGGCGGAGTGCGGAACAGGGATCGCGTGGGACGGGTATCCAGTATACGCCTCCACGTTGTTGTTGAATTCTCATTTCTGAAGAATTATTATTGTTGATCCCCCCCACCAGTGCATATTGTTTTTTCTCAATCAAAGTGTCTGCTCAAACTGGGCCCCTGGCCCCGGGGTTACAACGACAACGGCTCCCGCCTGAGACTTCCTTACAATTTAGCCTGGACCCCGGCTCCCGCCCGAGAATTCATCGC